TTTAAATAGAAGTAATTCATACCCAGGGTGAAAATTTGGACCGTTTTTGATCATTTTTCGTAATCTAACCAAATTCATAGCATTCACAGATTCGGTTACAGTAAGTTTCTTAGCGAAAAGCTCAGGTATACCAATTTCATCAATATCTAGATAGGGATCTGGGGTGATCACAGAACGACAAGCAAAATTAACACGTTTGCCCATCATGTTCATACGAAATAAGCCCTGAAACAAAAAGCATATGTCAAAACAAGATGAACTTCTTCCTATATGTCGATTACATTTTGAACCGTCTTTTCTAGAAAAATATATAGGTTCCAAAATAACATAGAATATTCTAGTAAGACTGCTCTTATGACTGTATTACATTTACATCATTATAAATTCAATAAATTTTTTTTACATGTTACTAATTTTCCTAGAAAAAAGCTCAATTTCATAAGTGCGGTGAAGAAAAGTATGTGCTATATTATTTATTTTTAAATTACAGTTAACATCAGTTAAAATTTTTTTGTGCAAGAAATTCAGCAGACATAACCGTAAGAAGAAAATCAAACCTGCTTCTTCTCTAAAATCTGCTTGATACCAGGGACCTGAATTCTTACATCTGTCCACTTGTCTAGATCTTGATCGAAAATGGCTCCCATACGTTGCTGCAGTATCAAATATGCATTATGCATTTTGGCTTGCATTGTTTGTCCAAGAACATTTTCTGATACCAAGTTCTAAAATTCAGTTGTTTATCAAAGGAACTGAAAACAAAGGAAAAACAGCAAACCAGTGAACAACAACATATATGTTTTTTAACTATAAAAGTGTGCCGAAAAAGTTCTTACCAAAACAGTTTTTTCATTGTTCCCAGATAATGCTAACCGAATAGCTCGAATTGTTTCTGAAGCTTCTAACAATTTTCGAAGATTAACACTCTGTGGATTTTCAAATTTATCACCTTTGAAGATTCGAATTGGTCGATACTTCGTAGGTGGAACTAGCACTGCTTCACAAAATAGAACATCAAGAGGACAATGTCTGTCATCCTATAAACAAATGTTATTTTGGAAATACTAGGAATAATGAAATCTAACCATTTCATTGGAAGCTCTCACTAAATAATTACACATACATAATGAAGTTATTACATTTCATTATAAAAACCAATGCAAGAATAGTAAAAACGGTTATATTACATATCTGAAGATATTTTTTCAGGAAAGTCTTCAAGCGGTGTAAAGAAAATGTAGATAAATTGGAAAATCTAAGGTTTCAGCAAATTAAAAAAAGAAAAGATAAGTTACTTCAGAATCGAACACAGGGAACACTTTCTTCAGCAGAGGCCCATCGTTTTGCCAAAGTATACGAAAATGTTCCCGTACCTCAGCGCCTCGCCAAGCTAACTTATCGCAATTTCCCCTTAGCACCCACTGCATCTGATCACGCAAAATTTGTTCTGAGGTACTCGCTAATGATCCATAAGCAATCCTTTCGTCGCTAAACTTTTTGTTTTCTGCTTTCATATCCTGACCTGAAGAAAATTTTATAAATCTAAATTATTGTGTGAATCTCACATTTCTGGATTTCTGGAATACATACGGTTGAAACATATTTGAAAGTTTTAAACTTACCAGCGTCAATTTCCTGATCCTCGATATTTCCAATATTTTCAAGGGGTGCAGAACGTAACGTCCGCTTAAGTCGTTTCATACTATTCGTCCCACCAAAATCAATCAAAATGCAACGGCCACCATCGTTACGAATGATTCCATTACTTCGATTACATAATCTACATCGTCGCCGATGTTTGAACTGCAGTAAGAAACAGTTAAATGTCTCCTCTCGACTAATACTTGGTCAACTAATACCTACTTACAAATTCACTTTATATTACAAAACATCATCGTCCATTATTGTCAAACACATCAAGAATATAGTAAAGCTTCTTTAGTTAGTATCCATAATAAAAAATAAGAAAGGCAATGTAGCAACTTTAAAATGTAGAATTTTTACCACATAAAAAGTTATTAAAAGTGAAATAAACCGTAACTCACAAGCTGTTCTCTACAAAAATTTCGAATCAACGATCTTCTCAACTCCAAGGCATTTTTAACGGGGAAAGACCGATTTTTGTCAATACCTGAACCCACTTGCTCATTGAATTTATCGAGAAAGTTATCCAGTTCTTTGCACGCATTGATTTCATCTGTGAGAATTGGTGCATTTCCTAGATTAAATAAAAAATTCTGTCTAAAAAAAACAGCCAAAACTATCACACTAAAAATCCACCAAATGTGACTTATTTTAGTTATAATATCCAGTATTTCGAATTTTAGAAATCACATCAACATAACTGGAAAAAATTTAGTTTGAACTGGCCCATTTCAAAAATTTATTTTACAAATGTTTACTGCAGATCTGTGTTTCCCTCTAATTTCAGAATCCGGATAATACTTAAAAATCTTTCACTTCATAAAAGCACTACCCTTTCGTGACGCTTAATATATCATGTCCAAACATACAGGAAGCTGGTAAAATATTCATTCAAAAATATAAATAATTTACAATTTCTCTTTGATTTATTTTAATTATAATATCTAGTATTTCGAAAAAATTTAGTTATAATATCCTACTCTATAATGAGCTACTTTTAATTTACTCCTAATTTTATGATTTAGAAAAATTAAAAATATGAACGGACCATCCAAAGTTCCAGTCCCACTTTCTGCAGAAAAATGATCCTTGATAAAACCATCAAGTTCTTGCGCGACTGAAACGAGACCAAGATCCAGTGCTCGAAGCTGAGCTAGAAGGAGTTTCGCTTGCAAACCAGATGAGTTGCACGTTAATCTGTGACACTGTACACACGTTCCATTCATTAACTTAAAGTAATTTTGGGGTAGATTAACAAAGAGATAGTTAATCCATTAGGCAACTCTTTGAACTTCAAAAAACTTGAACATTTCAAATATATTAGATGCAGATTACTTAGATATTATATAATTATTTAATATATTCAAAAAACCATACGTGTATATTTACATTTCGATTTGATAAACAAAGACTTTCTGGAAGAGACTTATGTTTTAGTTATTCAAATACTCTGGTCAGTCATTGGCTAATTAAGCATTTGTAATCAGAACATTTGTGATCAGAATCGACTAATCTTCCAAGAATGACTGAAAGTTAACTTACGGAAAAAGTGAAACCGAATAAAAGTGGATTGAACGTTGGAATATCGAGCTGAATATGGCCCATGTGTCCTGGACAATAAGTCCCTTGCTGATGACATGTCTCACAGGTGTCGAATGTCTCTAACGGGCCCAATCGCAAATCATATAAACCACCACTAATTGGATGTCCAATCTGATATGCGAAAGTTAGATTAAATCAACAGTACACAAATTAATAATCAGCTTTGATTGTAAATATTCCCATCCACAGAGATGTCTTGCATTTAAGAAATTAGTAAACAACAACTGACCAGTGCTGTAACTGCAAGAGCATTAGCAAATATGCTTTACTTTTATTATTATAACTATAAATTTTGAGAAAAGATAGTAGTAAGATATTTTCATCATTACTCTGCTTGTCTGTCAACTAAATGCAACGTTTTTTTTTTCTCTAAATCTCCTAGAAATACTTTCAGTTTGTCCACAACTATTTTTATATAATGAACTGCATTTATATTTGTCAATTCATAATGCAAATTCATATGAAAGTTGTATTGTCCAGCTTATTTGCTGTGCGAATTATACAATCCTTACTCGACACAGAAATCATAGTGATTATGTGCTTGGAATTTCAACTACTGCGCTATACTTGTGCAAAATAGCATTCTAAGGTACACTGAAAAAACAGACTTCATCGAATGCTTTTGTTTCGGTAATTCTTAGAACACTGATCCGCTCGATTTCGTGCGGCAGATAGCACCGTAATTGTAATCGATCCAGTATTTTATATGGCTCATGTCCCGGACCAAATATATCTGCCATTGAGCTAAAAGAAAGAAATGAAAATTAATGAACAGTAAAAGATAATTACGAATAAGACAACAACATATCACAATACGAGTATAAACCAACTATAAGGTTACCTAAAATCAAAAAGACAAAAGTGAAATTATTTCGGGTTTTTATAGCAATCAAGTACTGCAATAGCAAAATCAACCATTCATAATGTTCTCCTGTTGTATGCTCTGCACACTGATAATAAATTATGATATAAAAATATAGCAAAAGTTATTTGGAATTGCTGAAATGGCTACTGGTAGAATTGTACTCACAGTTATTCAGGATAGCGCGTCCTGCATTCTCTTCGTGTCCTAAGTTACTCTCCCACTCCAAATCCAAATCACTTGACCATAATTTTCAATGAAAATATATCGATAAGAACAAAAACTCTACACACCTAACTCCATACTTGAGAACGGTCTATTGCACTGCGTCACTGAGATACGATGATAATACATCCAGTTTAGCAAACCAACGCCAAACCTACCGTTTGACGTTGCTTTGCTAAAATTACTAATTATATCGCTAGAAGACTGTAGTGCGTCGGTAGCGTATCGCTGTTGCACAATTTCGACAGACCATGTCTGAATGTGAGGTTTGGAAGAGTGGTCTTTGTTGTTGTTTACCGGTGACAGTGTATAAGTCAGTTCCACGAAGTGAAAGGATGTTGTCAGCTATGAATAAGTAATCATACTGATAGGAGAGATAGTAATCATTTCACATGTTTAATGGTCAGTATCTGCAGAAAGCTTTTTATCTAATTAGAAGTAAACATAGATAAGATTGTTGTCACCATAATAATTACAATGCAGAAGGAAACTAAAATCACGAATAATTTGGAAAAATACGTACTTTTGCCGCTTAGAAATTTCGGAATAAGAAAACATAGTTTGATTGCTAATATCTTTTTATGGTAAAGCGTTAGAGCTTTATTAGTTATGAAAGTGTCTCCACCAATCCTTAGCAAAAGTAGCTGAGTCAGTTAACATCGATGAATTACTGAAAACTGTCTGCGGCGGTGTCTGTATGAATAGAATTATAATAGCTTTTTGGGAATTTAGCAATAATATCCATCATTTCCAAGACCATTTGTCGAAAATTTGCCGGTGGTAACAATGCGTACGGACTAGCTGATGCCGCGATAATAAATTCACGAGAATATATGACACGAACATCCAAGTGGCCATTCTGATGACGTCGAGTGACAACCTGGCTGCCGCCAGTGGGATCCACGTTCACAACACTGATCTGCAGATAAAATGAATCTGAATTCTATTACATAATTGAATGACTTGAACAGGAGTCGATATCGATCTTACAGTGCCATAATTCAGCAACAAATTTATTTGCCATTTGATTTTATACTAATTGTTATGGGAACGTACGATTTTCACGGCCGATTTTATACTCTTGTTGACTGGTATCAAGGTCTGATCATTTCGTTGAGATGGTACCCAGATTGGGCTCAGTTCACGGATACGAAACGGACGTCGACGACGTTCTTCATCGCTATGAAACATATACTGCAATGAATTAACATTAACTATGACATATCCGTTACTGACTTTCGCAGCTCAACGAAATTTGAAGAAAATATATTTTTATAGAGAAATACAACTTTTTACACAAAAATTTATACAAACGAAATTTATACACAAATTTATATACATAAAACTAACATTTTTAGGTGCAATGGATGGTTGCGGTGGCAATGGTGACATCATAAATCTTTGGCTCAATAGCCAATTTACTGCAGGCATTGTCGACGTATCCATTCTGTTCGAAATAACTGAAAAAAAGATAAATAAAATTCATAATTTAAAACATTTAAGCTTTGAGGTCCTTTAATATTCTTTACAGAGTTATGAGGAATCCAAATGATGATTGGACATTAGCAAGGATAAATTTTGCAAAATCCAGTAACTCAAGCTCTCACCCACATTTCATTTATATAAAATATTTTAATCCTACTTAATATTTCAATTAAAATACTGTGAAGACGTCACCTTATCAGCAGGATATTATATAACACTGCTGCCGTATTCATTTATGACGTTCTGATAAACACTTAAATTCATATGTCAAATGTAAATAAACGTGGTTTCGGACATTAAAAAATTTACATAGCCTTATATTTAGTCTTTCCCAAAACCTACATTCAATGTTCAGCTATAGAGTTTGGAAATGCAAAGAAAAGCACTTAAATTTTTACTTAATCCTAAATTAATTTATTTTCCAATCAGTCGGTTTCATACTTATTTGAAGCCCGGAACTTCATTTGTAATCACCTTAAGTGCCCAGAATTTTACGTAAGGAGTGGATATAATTTATAGGACGTTTGCATTAAAAGTTTTCCTTCAGCTAATATATGATGTCTTAAGATGTAAAAAAGTTAGAGCTAAATCATGCTTTATTCAAAGCAGCTTTAAAATTATGCCATTCGTTATAGTAAGCATCTGAATTGAAGAACTTACGAGGTGCACTAATAGGAGCCAAAGGTATATTTGGTTGATGGAATCCAACTAAGCCTGGATACATATCCACTTGAGTCAATTAGAAATATCACTCCAAAAAGAATAAAATTAGCTCCAAAAGCTTGAGAACAAAAAGGCGAATACTGAAAAACAGGGGTAATTGATGTCATTATGTAAATCGTTAGTGATAGCGATTTATGCAAATATCGCGAATCTTGAGAAATTAGCATAAATGTAAAGTAGGTTTATTATATGTATGTTGCAGTAACGATGAAAGTGGTGTTTTAGTTTAACAAAACAAACATTAAGTCAAAGTTATTTGAAAACGAACAGTGGATTTTATGTTCAAATTGAGCATTTGTTTCGATTTTGAGATTAATCACCAAATTAACCTAACAGCTTGAAATGTTCAGCTTCAGCTTCATAAATGAAAACCTTCAAAACTGTTAAAGTTAGCATCGAGAGGTTCCTTACATCATACCCCTAATTTTTTTTCTAATTCTTCGTTAGCTATAATATAAAGGTTTAATATGAGAACATCGATCAGTTCAACTATTAAGTATCTTTCGTATTTTTCATATATTTTACCATCTATTTTATTTATTTGCTCTTTATTAATAGCACTGATTCATCATTTTATCTTATTTTTTTCTTGTATTTTTGACAAGAAAAAGGATAATTCATATAATGACTTTTTGGATGTACTACAAAGGAACATTCATTTATGCAAATCTATTTGTCCCTTTGTTTGAGATCAAGCAAAATGCATATAAAAGACACATTACCACTAACATAAGTTGATACTTTGAGACGATTGAGATATGCAGTTTTGATCATTCTTTATCAGTCATACTCTACTATACTATTATCATTTTTTCTTTTGATAATACTAAACAAATTATTATTAATACCACTATCAATTGCTATATTATTTGTAAGACTTTTCAGTTTAATTTAAATTCAAAATGTGTATTATCCTTTAGAAATAAGTCATCAAGTCTCTTTGATATGTTGTCACATTTCACTTTTCATTGTCCATGTGAGATATGTAAGCTTTGTCTGAGTAATCATTCTATCGATTTGTTAGACATATCAGTTAAACGTTAGAGAAATTACTTCTCGAAATTACTCTATTCCGGCCAAACAATTATTTTTCCGTTATTAATTCAACTCGATTAGTTAAAATAGAAATGAGAGAAAATGAAAATTTCACAAAGGATAAAAGACATAATGTGATATTATTCACATCAGCTAAAATATTTTCGCTTTAATTCACAACTCAAAAATTTGAGGAGTTCAATCCTTTTGTCCTCTCAGAACACAGAAGAATTCCGTTTACACAAATAGCGAAACGAAAATAGAAGATCCGGAAACATCCGGAAAATTATTCTGTTGCCCTAATCAGGCGAACGTTTATTTGATTTTAGGAAAAACAAAGAGCATATGGCGCAAGTTGTGATGACTATAACAATTGACATCGGAATATTGATATGAATTTGTAATGTGATTTTATCATGAGGATTAAATCTTAGTGCAAAAATTATGCACTACTTTTACATGCATGCATGCATATCCCATTTCTGCAAAATTCTGAATTAAGAGATAATAAATTATCCTTTAAATCATCCCCGTTATAAATCCAAACTATAAATATATTTAGTATATGACAAAACGTTCAATCCCACACAAAAAGAGACACACTGCTGTTGACAACACTACACAATATCTTTTATTGTCATCAAATACTAATACTGAAATGAGGGGGTCATGAGGGAAGATGGTTTTGTAAACGATGAAATGAGCACAGTTCACAAAAGTCAGTTCAGATAAAATGACTGATTATGCTGCTATCAGAATCGATTCTTCTGCAGCAATAAAAACAACCACGACACAGAGCAAAAAGCAAAAAGACGTACAAGAGAAATTCATCTTGCTAATCAGTACAAGAGGAGTTCAAATTATATCAGAATTAAATTTTGATTTTTCAGTGACTGAGATCTTAATGATTACTTAAAGTAATAAGTAACAAAGCACTTTATAGCTATTTATAGTATACTAGTAAGTCTTTACATTCATTCGTATGATGCATTTCTGCATGAATAATTAAGATTTTCTGACTGATCAACCTCATGTGAAAAAAGCCAACATTTGAATGGCAATCTGTTCAGGTAAATTGAATTCTGTTCAGGTAATTCAGTTCAGATTATGATAACATTTTAATAGATGTCAACATTTCAACTACATATGCATGATTAAATGCAAATAATAGTTGTTATAAAGAAATCTCCTGAAATTTATACACAATCAGCTCTACTGATTACGGAAGCAAAATTTTAAAAAAATTTATGTTTAGCAAAAGTATTCTTTTGATTTAGCAAATCAGAAAAATTTCTGTAATAGTAGACAATTTCAAAAACAGTTAGCCAAACAATTGATTTTTAAAAATACAAATTAAAGATTACCATCACACACATATAACTAACTCGAAATATGATCTATGATGTAGAGATATAACCAATTTAAATATTCACCAACAGATAGTAAAAGCATACGAGCACTACAAATGATATATTTAAATCATTCTAATGCAAAGTGATTACTTTTGTTAATCTTGTGAATATCTTGTTAATCGGTCTGTTGCAATGATTAACGAGGTTGACTTACTCTTTTTGAGATTGTTTTTCATCAAAGTCATAAAATTCTTATTTCATTACAGATTTTTAGTAACTGAAATATGTTATGAAAAATTCCTTAATTCCTAGAGTTTGCTAAGATTTAGAAAACCAATAGATACTGCAATCATTGAAAAATTTATGTAACTTGATGTAATTCCAATGGATTTCCATTATCATTGAAATTGATTAAATTTCTCCACTGATAGAATCTATCAAAGATTGCAATCATTTTTTGTTCCTACATCACAAGTTCTTAAATTTTGTTATTTATTGATCTGGCATTTTTTTCCTTTTTTTTTTTTGAATATGCAACTAACGGAAGACCTACAAACCAGCCACATTCAAATTTTAAAACTTGGTAACAATAATTTCAAAAATACTATTTCACAAAAATAGCAATTAATGAAGTATAGACAGGATATTTTATTTGGAAAACCTCAAAAGTGTATTGACTGTTTGCTTTCAACTTGTCCGAACAGAACGGAAATTTTATTTTATATAAAAAGGAAGTCTTTCACAGTAATTCCAAATGTATTCAGCTTTGAACTGTCTACATTTTATGTCTTGCTCTTTCTAATTTTTTTGATAAAATCAAAAATTGGTTGTTTAGAAAGTAGTTCACAGGTAAATTTTCTTAAAATAACTCTTATAAATTGATTCACCCACGAGTTATTATTTCATAACAGTTCACTTAAATCACTTTTTTTTTTTTCATTTTAAATGTGATAAACAAAATATCGATAAACAACATCCCTAGAACTCCTTGTATTAATAGATAAATCACAGAATATATTCATTTGGTTAGTATTGTTATAAATCATCAATCTTTTTAGAATTCTATGACATCTGAAACAGAAGGCACTGAAATTGAATCGGTAGATGTGTCACAATTAATGGATAAAGTCAGCAAAGACAAGAAGGCTTGTTGATTTTACTTCCCTATCTGATCATTTATACTCGTATTTCATCTATAATTAGTTATTGGACTGTCACCATGTTTAACGGTGCCAATGACAACTGCTCCATTTTATTTGTAATATATAATTAGAAATTTCAGCATCAATCAATCAAGACTGATGGTACCACCACAAAAGCATTGAATTTAGAGGTGTGTAACGCTTTTTTAAAAAGATATCAGACAAAATGATATTCTGTAGATATAAAGCGATATATGAAAGTGTTTATTTTCCGTTTCTTATAATAAATTATTAATAACTTTAAATCATTTCAATCTTGCTTTGTTAGAATGTTAAATTTTCGATATACAGTAAATTCTGTTACAGGATTCCATACCAAGCAGATTAAAACATTTTTATATATCCTATCAGTTTAAATAACTGGGTGGCAAATTGGGTGATAATAATTAATAATGAGCTGAGAACTGCTGAAAAATAAATTCAACGTCACAAATTTCTAAAAGCAAAACTGAATTGAAGAGAAGATAGGAGAATTTTTGAAGTTTCATGCTGAAATTTGAAGATGGAACTTGAAAAGAGTTCGGATGGACAAGAGAAGGGAATCAATTGGTTCATGGCTTCGATGTTCATTCTAGGCGACTTAGTCGGTGGTGGCGTTGTTGCAATGCCTGTCGCATTTGCTCAGACAGGTCTGACAATTTTTGTATAAGTTAACTGAATCAAAAATTTCCTCAATTTCTTTTTTACATATTTTGGAGAACTAAAAATTTTTTAAATTATTAAACTTTCTTGTTTTTATCACTTTTTGAAGTAATTTGAATTATCTCGAGAATCTTACACTGCTCAAAGATTTACAACAATTAAATGAAACTTTAAAAATTTAATGTCTTTTAAGCTTGTAGATGGGTTTAAATTTAAGCTTGTAGATGGGTTTAAATGGATCATTACAGGATTTTTACTTGGCGTGCTGTTTATGGTAATCATTTGTGCAATTTTTGTAACAACCGGGTGGCTACTTGCTGATACATGGGAAATTATGCGTAAACGATGGCCGGAGTACCGTAAACACTGCCGGAAACCATTTTCAGAAATGGCTTTAAGAAGCATGAGCAAGAAATCGGAGTTCGTTTAATTTCTCTCTTTGATTTTTTCGCTATTTTCAAAAATTTATCTTTTTTTTTTACTTTCGATTGTTCAAAAATTTTTTCTGTTCTATTTGCAATTTTCTAAAAACTTTCAATTGTTTGCTTTTTTAATCTATTTTTTCTTCTAAACAATTGACAAATTTCCATATCCAGAATTGTCACCAAAGTGACTGTCTATTCAACTCTATTTGGTGCCACTGTGGTTTATATACTTCTTTCCTCTAAGATAATCCAGAAATTTATGAATAATTTCGACCTGAGTTTCAATTTTTGCTTGCTTCTTATTATCGTTTCCATATCTATATTACCCATAACATTTCTTAAGTCACCCGCTGATTTCTGGTGAGTTCCTTCCCAATTTATTTATATCTGCCCACTAGACTTAAGAACCTAGACAATGAATATTTTTTGTGTGTTCTGTTTGAGCAAAATAAGTCATGTACAAAATTACCATCCAGGAAATGGTCTTCTAGTTTACGACTCATACCTTAATTTTACTTTAGAAGCAATCTCAATAATTGTTCATTAATTCTAAACATTTCCAGGTGGGCGATCCTTATTGCTGTCCTTTGTACTATTATAACAATCACTATGATATTCGTTGGTATTAGTTTAGATTTTCATGACTGCTACCATGAGGCTCACTATTCGGGTACTTCAATCGACGCCATCCTCGGTTTGGGCATTTTCCTGTTTGCCTTTAATGGTCACCAAGTTTTTCCAACTGTGCAGAACGACATGCGCAATCCGGCGGACTTCAAGAAATCGGTTTTAGTCGGATTCGTTTGTCAGCTTCACTTAAATTCTTTTTTTAAATTGTTCACATAAAGTTTTTATTGTAATTTTTTTACAAGATTTGGAAGGTGAATAATTATATTATCACATGTATTACCTTGTGACTGATTTGAAAATTGGTAGGAAATATTAACGGACTGGTAATCATAACAACAATGTTTGTATTCTTCGGTGTTTCTATTTCAGGAATTTGCTTCATTGGTGACATCAGACTGAATTATAAATATTCTGAGTTTTAGTTGTGGCATTACTTTACATGCCTTTGTCCGCATATGCATTTCTTATATACGGTGACAGTATGGCCAATTCAGTGATTGATTCAGTGCAGACAACTTGGATTCGTTACGTGGCTGATTTATCCATAGCGATACATTGTATTCTTGCTATTATTATCACCGTGAATCCGATCAATCTGCAATTGGAAGACACGTTCGATGTGCCGCAGAGTCAGTTACTTTTCTTAAATTATTCGCATTCTCATTCAAAATATAATGTGATGATGAAGTACCGTCCCGGATTGAGAACTGTCCCCCAATTGTCGGAGCTTCCGCATTTGACCAACATTCTATTACAAAGTGGCCTGAATAAGATATAGCTTGCAAAAATATTCCTGTTTTTGTCTCTTGATTTTAATGTAATTTATTGCAGAATTCTGTTTCAAACGAGTGTTAGTTCGCACAAGCCTATTGCTTACAGCATTATTTGTTGGCATGTCACTCCCCAACTTTGGTTCTGTGATGAATTTATTTGGAAGTACCGCAGTACCTTGTACATGTGTCGTTTTACCAACCTTATTTAATATTTATATTAAAGCTGCTACCTATGATAAAGATAATAACATATGGATTAAGCCGACATTTCTCGAGTAAGTGATGCATTTTTTTTGATGCATGACCGAGATTAGAGATGAACTTTTTCTCTTTATTAGATCATAAATGATTTACTTAGTTAACTTAGTCATCAATTATTGCATCTACATTTCTTTATCATTGCTGTAACAAAAGTAGCAGCTTAAAATGTCAACTGCTTGTGAAATTTCAGAGCGCTGCAAAAAACACCGAAAGCTCTACTTTCAGTTTTAATACTTATAAATGGTATGTTCCAACAGAACAAATTGATGGATTTTACAAAAAAAAAAAAAGAAAAAAGAATGTAAATGTTACTGCTAAAGAAGGAATCATCCATCATTTCAATTTAATTTTATTCGAATTAAATTTTCAGCCAATTAAATATAGCTAATTTTGCAGTGCTAACTGTGATTTGTTCCGTCATCGCTACTGTATTGTCTGTTAAAGAAATATTAGGTGTGAGATTCACTCCACCGTGTTATATTCTGCCATTTCTTACTTATAAGAATAGAACACAGCTGGATGCCGATGTGCTCAACTGCTGTGGAATGTTTATGAACATTTCGAAATTCAACTTTCAATGTGGTGCTCGATCTTGACCGTATGCTTTTATTTTTGAGCTTTTGAATTAAATCCTACCACCGACAGGCTTTTACCAATTTGTCAATTTATTTCATCTTTTCACAAATAAGTTACATAATTATAATTTATTAGTAATGAATATGTTAGCACATTCATTTGTAATTATCATATGATTTATTATTAGTCTACTATGTGAACAGATCATATCGATAATTTATTCATCGTAGCTTGACCAATATCAGCCAATTCTTAAACTTAAACTGATCTACTTTCAGCTGAAAGAAAGACGCTATGAATGTTCAGTTTATTAAATTCAAAGAATTTTCAAAACATTGTTTGTCTCTTTTCCTTTGTATTACCAGTTAGATTTATTTGCTTTATTCATGTCATAGAAACGATATGAACCAAATTCTAGACAATTTATGAAATAGTGTATCACTAATGTAGATTGGTGATTTTGCTTTTATTTATAAAATTGATAGATCTTTGTATTTCAAGCTTTTTGGTTTCAAGATTGCTCAATTTATTCTTATTTATTTATTTGTTTTTTTTTTTTTATATTATTGAAGATTTGTCAATTCTTCCAATCTTTTAATCTTCGACTCTTTTATTTAATAAAAATTCTCCCATCTCTTCTACCAAAATAATATGATTTTGTCACTTGTCGGAATTCAAAAATTACTTACTTTCAAAATTCACAGCTGAGTCATAACTGAATCGGAACCAAGAAAAAATATAGAAAATTTAACCGAGTATATTTTACAAATCGATGCGATTTTCATGAAATCAGTGTCTACTATCTTCTTCACTAAACAATGGCGCTGTTTACATTGCTTTACTCAATTTTGACTGTGAAACAGACACCTGCAGATAAAATATTTTCATTGCATGTAACGTGGAAAGAGTTTAAAAATAATCTTTTGATATGGACATAGTGAACCGTTTCATTTTTTCAAGATTTGTAGAATTATGAAATTTGTTTCACAACGGAAAAACAACTGAAACACGCATTATGTGAACGGAAGAAATTTTTCATCGTTATGAATATAAATTGGTTGTGATAGAGAATCGAGATCTTTCGGATTAGTAAATTTTCGACAGCTAGCCCTAATATAAATTATTGCTATCATGCAGAACAATTTTGAACAATATAGAAAAAACTGATTCAGAAGAAAATGTTGCGTAGGAAAAAAATATTTCCGAATAAAAACCGGTTCTTTTGAATTTATCAAAACAATTAAAACAAGATTCTTCATTAGTTGTTCATAAGGTATACGAGAATAAACCCGTCTTGTCTCATTATTTGTTAAAAAGTAAAAAGAAAAACTGATATTTTCGTTAAAATTTAATATCGATTTGATAAAGCAAATCTTGGTAGCTTTGTCAAGGTATTAGTCAAAAGTACAAGCCTCAATAATCATATGATTAAGAAATGTTCTAATTATAGCTCAGTTTTTATTCCAATAAATCTTCAGCAGTCTGATCTCTAGGATCATCAAAAAAGGCCTAAATACTTTTCAGCTCCTCTAAAACGTTGTTGTCATTGTATCTATCCATGATTAGATGTCGCAGAAGTTTTGAAGATTTAGTTATTATTTTGGGAGAGGTTGTTGAGTTCGGGGTGATTCGTTAGATGTAGATGTAAAATATGTAAGGCACTTTTCAGAAGCCTAAAGCTTGATTTAGATACTTTAATATAAGTGCGAAGGAATAAAAGTTAATTCTTTTAGATCTAAGTCAATTTTATTTCTATTGACAAACAAGGGAATTATAAAATTAGTGAATTTATTAGTTGCTGTCGTAAATAAGATTGATATGAGTATAAATAAACTAGTGATAGTCTCTTATCATGCAATAAAATTTTGAACAGATCAAATAAACTTATTTTCAACTTTCATTTTTTGTCCCCTCGCATTATTTAAGTTACAATGCAGCGTAAGTATTGCTGTAAAAAGTAAAATATGATATATATATATATATGAGAGCTCATGTATGTGTATAGTTTATTGGTTGTTTTCCACTCAGTGCAATATTTTAAGCATTTCTAAAGCTGTTTTTTTGCATTTTTTTGAAATGTTAACCATTGAATGTTTTGTTTTTTTGTAGTTTTCGAGCACCTGGTAGAAAGAGATAGAATCATTGAATGAAATTGTAATGTGATCTAGGAGAGACATCATAAAAAACACTAAGGGCTAAAGTTGGTCAGAAGTGATCCTTATTTGCTATTTGATTTTGGAATACATTCTCTTATTGTTCAGTTTGCTTATTTTGTCATCTGATACATTACTAGATTTGTATTATACCATTATAATCATTTCTTTAGTTGAAAAAGGAGTCGACAATGCTTAAAATAAGTTGAAACCGGATTTTATCCTGAACAAAGTTATACTATTGTAAAAAGTCGTAGACAATATTGGTGAGTTCACTTTGCACGCCTGATACATATGCAAAATCAAGCGGTAAAATCAAATTTTATTTTGTATCAGACATATTAATCAAACTCTTCTCTTCTGCACATTATTTTAGCTTGTGTGACAACTCTGAACATCTGAGAAAAAGGAGAAAACTGGAATAAAATACTTTGCAAAAATATCTGTAGTGAAAACCTTTTATGAGACTAACCACTTTGCAATAAAGCAAGATTGCATTTCATGGATTGTCTTCTTGTCACTCTTCATTTCGTAGATTGTCTTCTTGTTACTCTACCTCATCATCATCTTTGAAACAGACAATTGAATCTTTAATGACAAACAATAATTGTGAAAGGTATAACTGAGAATCCATTTGAAACTATGCGTTTCCTTGGAATTATATAGTATAGTCAATGAACCCTAATTTTTGATTTCTAATAAGGAACTAAAACATATTTTCTATGCTTATTTTAAATTCATTGTTTATTTCCAAACTTTTAATGCTATCTCTTTTGCTTACATATCAAATAATGTCGAAAAAACGTTGACCTTTGCTTTTACTAAGCTGATTAAAAGCCAAATACCAAGTATTATTTAAAAAAAGCACCAACCTGTACACACATATTATGGCAAATGCTGAGAAAAATGGAACTTAAAGTTCGTATTCTTCCTGTAGTTTTTTCCCTTCCAATCGCACATAATTGCCGTTATTTTAATTTATAAAATGAACTGATTACACATTTAGCCATTTAATTGATCATTAAAAAATCGACCCTCCAACATGCGATGACATGCGAAGTGCAAATACCGTCATTTTCTTATTTTTCGACAGGTGAAATGCAGAATTTTGTAGAAAATGATCAATCTTTTGTGTCACATACAGTGCAAAATGTTTAATGCTTCTACAGAATTTTTTTTGAATGCAAATTCATTCTCAGATCGATTCATGGATCTGTGCAAATATTAGTCCTCATCAACACTATTTCCCAATTATCCATTACCTATACAACTTTTTTTTTTCATTAATTACTATTTCCTTACTGTTTAACCTTATTTACTTGCCAGAATAAGCTGCCTACAAGCACATCTGAGTTTTCATGAGACACTTTTAAATAGTTTAGAAAAAAAATTGAAGTTAGAGAAAATATCCCTCGCCAGGAAATCATATCCCAACAGATTGATCAATTCAGAATTCATTTTACATTTATATAACTTCAATTCGTCATATTGCTTGTCTTTGTTACTAGTACACATTGTTGTTTTTATCCCATATGCAGAAACTTTTTAATAATAAATTTTAGTTATCACATAAATTGGTTTAACATAATTTACGTGATTGGCTACTTGAAATAGAATTTTGAAAGGATGACAGTATTAAAAACTGGTAATGAATTCTCGGATGCATTTGGCGAACAGTATGAGCAAAGTGCTATCGATAAATTTATCAGTACGATTCTATGCAGGTACCAAGGAATCTGTTGATAAAAATTAATGAGGGAAAAATAATATGTGAAAGAGATGAAAGAAAATTGTGCTCATAAATCTTTTAATAAGGAAAAGTTATTCTTTGATTTAAAAGGATTATCGTCATTTTTCATATCTATTTCTTTTGAAATTGATAAATATACTTATTTGAAATTAATAAATGTTCAAGCTTTAAAATTGCTTTCAGAGGCGATTTTGCTAGGCAAAAACTTGACGCGAAGCCGGTTTCATTCTTTCAACTGGTATTTTCTACAATTATTTGGTTAAATATTTGGGAACTTTTTATCAATTTATATGAATTATTTATGTCAAATAAATGAACTAAATTTGCTGTCATCTGCAGTTCCGATTCGCTACTACATACGATCGCTTCATGATGATACTCGGAGCCTTTTTGGCTGTAATTTGTGGTATAGGCCAACCGACGATTTGTTTAATTGGTGGTAAAATAACAAATATTTTATTAGTGACAAAAAATGTAAGTTTTCTATGTGTTTTTTATCTTTTCATACTTTTTGAAATGCCTCTGAAAATTTTCATCTCGAAATTTTTCAGTTACCATTCACTGTTAGTATTCCATCGTATATGGAAACTTTTAACTTCATGTTAAAACACTGATATAAGCAATATTTTTTACTGATAAAAGAGAGCTGGCTTATCTTGCTGCATAATTAAATACACATATATATTTGGGAAAACTTGCAGTTTGAAAAATCTGACACATTTTGGTACCAGGCTTATGTATATATTTATCTTTATGCATCAATTGGAGTCTCGATGGTTATTGTCACCATCACACAAGTTCATTTTATTTACCGCAATTATTTTATCAAAAAAGAATTTGAACTTTAAAGTTTCAAAAGAAAGTATTGCTGAAATTAGTAAAATTGATCAATCCGATTATTGAAACTTAAATGATTTGAGCTCTAATCTAATCTTAAACTTGAATCTGTCAACTTTATGGCAATATTAATGCATTTCTATCTTCAGTATATTTGCTTAAAAAATGTATCATTAAATATAACATGCACGATGCGAAAGGAATACATGAAGTCATTACTGCGCCAAGATGCGACATGGTTTGATCAACAGAAGAGTGGAACACTTACTGTTCAACTTAA